TTCAGAGATGGTATTCTGCATACCTTGGTTGTAATGAGTGGTTCTTAGAGTTACTGTTGCCTTTCTATCATGTGGAACCAGTCTGCCCATTCTCCTCTGACCTCTGACATCAACAAGACATTTTCCTCCACACAACTTCCACTCACTGGATATTTTCTCTTTTTCGGACCATTCTCTGTAAACCCTAGAGATGGCCGTGCCTGAAAATCCCAGTAGATCAGCAGTTTTTGAAATACTCAGACCGACCCATCTGGCGCCAACAACCATGCCACATTCAAAGTCACTTAAATCCCCTTTTTTCCCCATTCTGATGCTTGGTTTGAACTTCAGCAAGTCATCTTCACCACGTCTAGATGCCTAAATGCATTGAGTTGCTGACATGTGATTGGCTGATTAGCAATTTGTGTTACCGAGCAACTGAACAGGTGTACCTAATAAAGAGGCTGGTGAGTGTATATCAATGGATATATCTCTCCCTCCAGCAGCAAAAATCTGGTTTCTCCCTTCCTCCCTCCCGCCGGAGGGAGAGATACACAGGGCATCGTTCTGCAATTGCCCTCCCCCACCCCATTAATCCTCCTGCTGTCTGGTCCCCCCTGTGTGCCCAGGCCCCCTACAGTAGTAAAGGTAGTTTGCCTCTGCTCACCAGGTCCCATCTTCAGGGGGACAGCACCACCCCCCTAAAAATTGCCTCCCTAGGCAAACGCAATGAATGTGGAATATGCTATGTGCAAGGCTGTGTGTGGACCGAATCTATCAGCGGCTCCTGTGGGGGTAGCGCTACATGTATAAAAAATTTGCTGTGTGTAAGTCTTAAGCATTTACGCAAGTGCAACAAGTGATTGCTTTGTTTTTTTAGTATGATTATATCCTATATCAGGGTTTCTCAGCCAGGGTTCCACAGAACCCTAATGTTCCTCAAGAAGTTCCTAGGGGTTCCTTGAGCGATGAGCAATTTCTGCCTGTCAGATAAGTTCCCACTGACACCATTGATCTTTTTCGCTATCTGTAAGGGGGGAATTCTTCCCACTGACAACAAGTGTGAGGAGTATTCTTGCCAGTGACCATCCATTGAACCCTAGGGTTCCTCCAGAGGCTGCTAGGGGTTCCTTGAGCTATGAGCAATTTCTGCCTGTCAGATAAGTTCCCACTGACACCATTGATATTTTTAGCTATCTTTAAGGGGGTAATTTTTCCCAATGACCACAAGTGTGAGGAGTATTCTTCCCAGTGACCATCCATTGAACCCTAGGGTTCCTTCAGAGGTTGTTAGGGGTTCCTTGAGCAATGAGCAATTTCTTCCTCTCAGATAAGTTCCCACTGACACCATTGATCTTTTTCGCCATCTGTAAGGGGGTCATTCTTCCCAATGACCACAAGTGTGAGGAGTATTCTTCCCAGCATTCTTCTCATTGACCATCACACTAATGTATCATGAGTTGTAGATATAGTAACTTTAGCTGGGGTTCCCTGAGACCAGAAAGCGGTAGTAAAGTCTCTGCTTTGTGATTTGTACCCTTATGAATGAATATCTCACAAACCTGCACCGTTTAGGAGATATTTGCTCTTTTGGCAGCTGGCGCATGCACTCTGAAGGAACAGCATACCCGTGCCGTTCCTCCAGAGCACGGTGCTGCGACCGAGACTCCTGAGCGCGACGCCATTCAAGTGCCACAGCTCACGAACCCGGAAGCAAGACCGGGTGAAGATGGAACCCTGGAGGGCTTCGTTCTATGGCAAGTCTTTCATAATGTGTGATGCATGCTAGTACAGGCCTTGAAATTTCCACTCGCCTGCTCGCCAATGGCGAGTGGAAATTATGGTGGGGGCGAGTGTGTCCCCCAGGGCCGTCTTGCTGAGCAGGCTCGGAGCTCAGGCCGGATCTGTCATTGGCACCGTCAGACTGCTCAATAGCTGAGCGCAGTGAAAGCAAAGGAAGGAGTGTGTGCTGTGCTCTCTGCCTCCCCCTAGAGTGCAGTACCCGGCTCTGTGAGTAAACAACGAAGTACTGCAACTTGTTTATCGGGTGGCTGTGTGTGTGCCTAATTTCAGCTCACTCTGGTCACATGATCCTCTATGTCAGCCAGTGGTGGCTTCAGGGGAGAGAGGAGAGAGCACTTAACAGCGTATGTGCGTGTACATGTGTGTGTGTTTGTGTGTGTCTGTGTACAGTGGGGATCGAAAGTTTGGGCACCCCAGCTAAAAATTTGTATTAATGTGCATAAAGAAGCCAAGGAAAGATGGAAAAATCTCCAAAAGGCATCAAATTACAGATTAGACATTCTTATAATATGTCAACAAAAGTTAGATTTTTATTTCCATCATTTACACTTTCAAAATAACAGAAAACAAAAAAATGGCGTCTGCAAAAGTTTGGGCCCCCTGCAGAATTTATAGCATGCACTGCCCCCTTTGCCAAGCTGAGACCTGCCAGTGTCATGGATTGTTCTCAATCATCGTCTGGGAAGACCAGGTGATGTCAATCTCAAAGGTTTTAAATGCCCAGACTCATCTGACCTTGTCCCAACAATCAGCACCATGGGTTCTTCTAAGCAGTTGTCTAGAAAACTGAAACTGAAAATAGTTGACGCTCACAAAGCTGGAGAAGGCTATAAGAAGATAGCAAAGCGTTTTCAGATGTCAATATCCTCTGTTCGGAATGTAATTAAGAAATGGCAGTCATCAGGAACAGTGGAAGTTAAAGCAACATCTGGAAGACCAAGAAAAATATCAGACAGAACAGCTCGCAGGATTGTGAGAAAAACAATTCAAAAACCCACGTTTGACTGCACGATCCCTCCAGAAAGATCTGGCAGACACTGGAGTTGTGGTACACTATTCCACTATAAAGAGATACTTTTACAAATATGGTCTTCATGGAAGAGTCATCAGAAGAAAACCTCTTCTACGTCCTCACCACAAAAATCATCGTTTGAACTTTGCAAATGAACATATAGACAAGCCTGATGCATTTTGGAAACAAGTTCTGTGGACCGATGATGTTAAAACTGAACTTTTTGGCCGGAATGAGCAAAGGTACGTTTGGAGAAGAAGGGGCACAGAATTTAATGAAAAGAACCTCTGTCCAACTGTTAAGCATGGGGTTGGATCAATCATGCTTTGGGGTTGTGTTGCAGCCAGTGGCACAGGGAACATCTCACGAGTAGAAGTAAAAATGGATTCAATAAAATTTCAGCAAATTTTGGTTGGTAACTTGATGTCATCTGTGAAAAAGCTGAAGTTAAAGAGAGAATGGCTTCTACAAATGGATAATGATCCTAAACACACCTCGAAATCCACGGGGGATTACATCAAGAGGTGTAAACTGAAGGTTTTGCCATGGCCTTCACAATCTCCTGACCTCAACAGAATTGAAAATCTATGGAGAAACCTTAAAAGAGCCGTGCGTGACAGACAGCCCAGAAATCTCAAAGAACTGGAAGACTTTTGTAAGGAAGAATAAGCAAAGATACCTCAAACAAGAACTGAAAGACTCTTGGCTGGCTACAAAAAGCGTTTACAAGCTGTGATACTTGCCAAGGGGGCAGTACAAGATATTAACTCTGCAGGGGGCCCAAACTTTTGCAGACGCCATTTTTTTTTTTTGTTTTCTGTTATTTTGAAAGTGTAAATGATGGAAATAAAATCTAACTTTTGTTGACATATTATAAGAATGTCTAATCTGTAATTTGATGCCTTTTGGAGATTTTTTCCATCTTTCCTTGGCTTCTTTATGCACATTAATACACATTTTTTAGCTGGGGGTGCCCAAACTTTCCATCCCCACTGTATGCATGTACATGTGTGTGTGTGTATGTACATGTATGTGTGTGTGTACATGTGTCTATGTGCATGTACATGTGTGTGTACATGTGTCTGTAGGCATGTACATGTGTCTGTGTGTATGTACATGTGTGTTTGTGTGTACGTACATGTGTCTGTGTGTACATGTGTCTGTGCGTGTGTATTTCTGTGTATGTACATGTATCTGTGTGTATGCATGTCTGTACGTGCCTGTGTGTGTATACATGTGTCTGTATGTGTGTACATGTGTGTTTGTGCGTGTGTACATGTTTCTGTTGTGTGTGTGTGTGTGTGTGTGTACAGGCAGTGGTGTATTTAGGTTTCATGCTGCCCTAGGCAACACAAACATTGACCAACAACATCCCAGCCCCCCCCCCCCCCCCCCCAAAAGAGCCTTCCACTACCACCGGGCAACCCCCACCCCAGCAAGAGACAAGACACTCACCTTCACAGCTCTGGACATCTCCAGGAACAAGAGTCAGGTTCTGCATACACCATCAAGCAGCCTGTAACCTCTGTCAGATCCCCCCTGGTCCCCATGTTGCGTGTGTCCCTTCTTCCATTCCTTCCTTCAGGGACAGCTCTGCCCACCTGAAAAATGCTGCTTCCCCCCTGAAAAAAATGCCACCCTAGGCAAATGCCATGTTTGCCTTGTGGTGAATACACCCCTTTGTAGCGGTGTCTGTTTGTGTGTGTTGGTGGCGAGTAACTCTTAAGGTCTGGCTAGTAGCTCAGGACTTGAAATTTAAGCCCTGGACTAGTACATTATGCAATTGCCTTGCAGGAGATTTTTTTTTTTTCCTAAACCCGCAGTTTACTACCGCTGTAAGACAACGGCGCAGCAAATTTTTATATCTAGACCCAGGGGCGGACTGACAACTTATGGGGCCCCCGGGCAATAGGGGATCATGGGGCCCTGGTGTCCTTGCCCAAACTCAAAAAAGCCTATGAAAAAGGTACCAGGGGCATCTCATGGGGCCCTCTACTGACCCCGGGCCCTCGGGCAGTGCCGAGTTTCCAAATGGTCAGTCCGCCCCTGCGCTAGACCCCAATATATCAAGGTATTCAGAGACAGGTTGCTCAGTAACAGCTATTTTACTATTTTATCTGAGAAATACTGCAACAGGGCGGCACGGGTGCGCAAAATCACATACATATATATACTGTATGTAATTTTGCAGTTCCGGGTAGGGAGCATGCGCACGCCACCATTCGCAGCCTCGGCTGTCAATCACCGGGTCCCGGCCAGTGATTTCTCGCCAGCACTCGGTGATCGTGGAGTATCTCCGACGGGGAAGAGTCCTGTGTATAAACAACACAGATCTCTCCCCTGTCAGCTCCTACAGACTCCTTTGTATGGCTCTGCATAGCAGAGCCATACAAAGCAGTGTGCTTACAGTGAAACATAAACACAGCCCAGTATCCGGCACAGAGCACAGTTAACCCTTTGATCGCCCCACATGTTAACCCCTTCCTGCCCAATGCCATTAGTACAGTGTCAGTGCTTATTATTAGCACTGATCACTGTATTGGTGTCACTGGGGATGTCAGTGACACCAAGTCAGTTCCCTCCCCAGTGTCAGAATGCCCGCCGCAGTCCCGCTATAAGTCGCTGATCGCCACCATTATTAGTATATAAAAAATTAAAATCCCATTATCTATCCGCCATTTGTAATTCTGTTTTTTAGCAAAGACATGGAGAAGAAAACATTTTGGCCTAAATTTATGACGAAAATTAGATTTTTTAAATTTTTTTACTGGACATGTTTAATAGCAAAAAGTCAAAAATATTTTATTTTTTCCTCAAAATTGTTGCCTTTTTTGTTTATAGCACAAAAAATAAAAAAAACACAGGTGATCAAATACCACCAAAAGAAAGCTCTATGTGTGGGGAAAAAGGACATCAATTTCATTTGGGTGCAGCTTTGCATGACTGCGCAATTGTCAGTTAAAGTAACATAAAAAATGGCCTGGTCAGGAAGGGGGGGGGGGGGGGGAATCCTCTGTTGGGCAAAGTGGCTCATAGTGGAACCGCAGCACCTTGCGCAGTTTTGTACTCCATGTTGTGTAAAAAATATATTTTTGGATTTTCTTTTTTTTATCCCCAATGCTTTTGTATTTTAAAAAGTAAATAAACACAACTGAAAAAAAAAAAAAGAAAGAAAAGCCTAATGCAGGCCATAGACGGTACGTTAATCGGCCGATTTTTCGTCTGAAAGAATAATCGGACGGTTTTCGCGGTTCCTCCTCATTTCTTTTATTGGTCACGCTGGAAAATTTGTGAAAAACGGACGATTTTCGCAATCATTGGTGGCAACATCGGTTTACAGAATGGCCGATGTTTCGTTTTTTATTTTTTTTTTTTTTTCGGACATAAAATTGTGGGATTATAACAAAGTGGAAGCAACTGGGAACAACAGCCACTCAGCCACCAAGTGGTAGGCCATGTCACATGACAGGGCGGGGTCAGCGCATGCTGAAGCGCACAGTGCGCAGAAGTCGCCAACTGTCTGCAGAGTCAATAGCTAAAGACCTCCAAACTTGGTGTGGCCTTCAGATGAGCCCAACAACAGTGCGTAGAGAGCTTCATGGAATGGTTTCCATGGCCGAGCAGCTGCATCCAAGCCTTCCATCACCAAGTGCAATGCTAAGCGTCGGATGCCGTGGTGTAAAGCACGCCGCCACTGGACTCTAGAGCAGAGGAGACGTGTTCTCTGGAGTGACCAATCATGCTTCTCTGTCTGGCAATCCGATGGGTGTGTCTGGGTTTGGCGATTGCCAGGAGAACGGTACTTGCCTGACTGCATTGTGCCAAGTGTAAAGTCTTGGTGGAGGGGGGATTATGGTGTGGGGGTGTTTTTTTCAGGGGTTGGACTTGGCCCCCTAGTTCCAGTGAAGGGAACTCTTAAGGCGACATTTTGGACAATTTCATGCTCCCAACTTTGTGGGAGGAGTTTGGGGATGGCCCTTTCTGTTCCAACATGACTGCCCACCAGTGCACAAAGCAAGGTCCATAAAGACAATGGAGGAGCCAGTTTGGGGTGGAGGAACTTGACTGGCCTACACAGAGTCCTGACCTCAACCCCATAGAACACCTTTGGGATGAATTAGAGCGGAGACTGCGAGGCAGGCCCCCTCCCCCGACATCAGTGCCTGACCTGACAAAATGTGCTTCTGGAAGAATGGTCCAACCTTCCCATAGACACCCTCCTAAACCTTGTGGACGGCCTTACCCCAGAAGAGTTGAAGCTGTTATAGCTGCAAAAAGGGCGGGGCCAACTCAATATTGAACCCTACGGACTAAGACTGGGGAGCCATTAAAGGTCATGTGCGTGGAAAGGGCGGGGCCAACTCAATATTGAACCCTACGGACTAAGACTGGGGGAGCCATTAAAGGTCATGTGTGTGGAAAGGGCGGGGCCAACTCAATAATGAACCCTACGGACTAAGATGGGGGGCCATTAAAGGTCATGTGCGTGGAAAGGGCGGGGCCCAACTCAATATTGAACCCTACGGACAAAGACTGGGGGGCCATTAAAGGTCATGTGCGTGGAAAGGGCGGGGCCAACTCAATATTGAACCCTACGGACTAAGACTGGGGGGACGATTAAATGTCATGTGTGTGGAAAGGCCGGCGGACCAATACTTGGGGCAATATAGTGTATGTTATTTATGTTTTTGTGATTGTCAATAAAGTTTGTGTTTGGTGACAAGGTGTTTTTGCGAGGTTCCTCAGCATCCTTCTCATGATTGGATGACGTTTTGGTCACGTGCCCAATGAGCGCGGACGGCGTTGCTAGTGCCATTCCTGAATCAGGTAATCCTCAGCGCTGAGAGGGAGGGAACAGGAGCGGATCCCCGCCCACTAGTGTCACTGTTGTATAATATTCTCCAGCATGCGTCTCAGGATTGGCAGGCGGTGTGGTCACGTGCCCACGGGGGGGGGACGGAGGGCGTTGCTAGGTGACAAGTGCCATTCCTGAAGCAGGTAATCCTCAGCGCTGGGTGGGAGGGGACAGGAGCGGATCCCCGCCCACTGGTGTAACTGGTTTAGAATACCCTTCAGCATCCTGCTCAGGATTGGGTGACGTACCGATGACGTGCACATGGAGCTCGGGCCGCGTTGCTAGGTGACAAGTGCCATGCCGGAGCAGGTAGTCGCCGGTGTTGAGTGGGAGGGACAGGCGCAGGTCCCCGCCCTCTCGGTGTAAGGAGTATATAGCCGCTCCCCGCCCCTAGTCCCCCCTCAGATCTCCGGTGTCCGCCATGGCGCTCGCTCAGCAGGCTCAGACTTGGTTCCCCCACACACGTCCAGGTCACCGTCCTCCAAGCCAAAGGCCTGCGAGCCAAGGGGAAGGCCGGCACCAATGACGCCTACTCCATCATCCAGCTGGGGAAGGAGAAGTACTCCACCTCGGTGGCGGAGAAGAGCGCGGCCCCGGTGTGGAAGGAGGAGGCCACCTTCGAGGTCCCTCTGCTACACAACGACAACCAGGAGCGCTGCACCGTCCGCCTCATCGTCATGCACCGGGCCCTGGTGGGGATGGACAAGTTCCTGGGGCAGACCGACCTCAACCTGTGGGAGCTCTCCACCGGAACCGGAGGAAGGTCCAGTGAGTACCGGGGGATGGGGCAGGTGTATGTAACCACACATTTATGGGCCCCTGGTGTCTCCTGATATTGGGGCCCCTGGTGTCTCCTGATGGGGGAGGGGGGCTCTTATGACCTAACCGTTTGGGCCCCTGGTGTCTCCTGATATTGGGGGGACTCCATCTAATGTTGGGGCCCCTGGTGTCTCCTGATATTGGGGGGGACTCCATCTAATGTTGGGGCCCCTGGTGTCTCCTGATATTGGGGGGGACTCCATCTAATGTTGGGGCCCCTGGTGTCTCTTGATATGGGGGGTGGTCTCCTGATATGTTGGGGTCCTGGTGACTCTGGGTATGGGGGGTGTCTTCTGTTGTAATGTTGGGGTCTGGGTGTCTCCTGATGTTGGGGCTCCTGATGTAATTTTGGTCCTGGTGTCTCTGGGTATGGGGGGGGGGGGGTCTCCTGATGTTGGGGCCCCTGGTGTCTTGTGATATGGGGGGGGTCTCCTGATGTAATGTCGGGGCCCCTGGTGTCTTTGTGATATGGGGGGGGGGGTCTCCTGATGTGACGTTGGGGCTCCTGGTGTCTCTGATATTGTGATATGGGGGGGGGGGTCTCCTGATGTAATGTTGGGGCCCCTGGTGTCTTGTGTTATGGGGGGGTCTCCTGATGTAATGTTGGGGCCCCTGGTGTCTTGTGTTATGGGGGGGGTCTCCTGATGTGACGTTGGGGCTCCTGGTGTCTCCTGATATTGTGATATGGGGGGGGGGTCTCCTGATGTAATGTTGGTCCTGGTGTCTCTGGGTATGGGGGGGGGGTCTCCTGATGTTGGGGCCCCTGGTGTCTTGTGATATGGGGGGGTCTCCTGATGTAATGTCGGGGCCCCTGGTGTCTTGTGATATGGGGGGGGGGGGTCTCCTGATGTGACGTTGGGGCTCTGGTGTCTCCTGATATTGTGATATGGGGGGGGGGTTCTCCTGATGTAATGTTTGGGGCCCCTGGTGTCTTGTGTTATGGGGGGGTCTCCTGATGTAATGTTGGGGCCCCTGGTGTCTTGTGTTATGGGGGGGTCTCCTGATGTAATGTTGGGGCCCCTGGTGTCTCGTGGTATGGAGGGGGTCTCCTGATGTAATGTTGGGGCCCCTGGTGTCTTGTGTTATGGGGGGGTCTCCTGATGTAATGTTGGGGCCCTGGTGTCTTGTGTTATGGGGGGGTCTCCTGATGTAATGTTGGGGCCCCCTGGTGTCTTGTGTTTATGGGGGGGTCTCCTGATGTAATGTTGGGGCCCCTGGTGTCTTGTGTTATGGGGGGGTCTCCTGATGATGTAATGTTGGGGCCCCTGGTGTCTCGTGGTATGGGGGGGGTTCTCCTGATGTAATGTTGGGGTCCTGGTGTCTCCTGATATTGGGGGGGGGGGGGGAAGAGTCTTGTGATGTAATGTTGGGGCCCTGGTGTCTCTGGATATTGGGGGGGGGGGGGGGTGTCTCCTGACATAATGTTGGGGCCCCTGGTGTCTCTGGATATTGGGGGGGGTCTCCTGATGTAATGTTGGGGTCCCTGGTGTCTCCTGATGTAATGATATTAAAGGGGGGGGGGGTTGTCTCCTGATCTATATTAGGGGCGGTCCGATCTGTTCGGCATTTTCGGAACCTTTCATTCCCATTTCATTCTATATATTCTCAGATTTCTCAGTTTGCGTGTTGCAGGGAATCTTTCTCCAGGAATCCTCTATTTCTTCTCAGATCTCCTGACACGGAATGTTACGGATCGATAACTCTGTGAGTGGTGGGGGCCCGGGGCCCTGTGTTATGGCCGCTCTGTGCAGCAGGTTGCAGGCCCTTCGATCAGCATTGGATGGTCCAGATGTCGGTGTTTTCTGAGCTCCACTTCCTGAAATGCCGGTTACTATTTAATCCTCGGCTCTGTGTAGCTCCACATAGATTGTCCATCACCGGGGGGGGGGGGGGGGGGGGGGGGGGTGGTGGTGGTGTAAGTCGATCTTCCGTGTGAGCGGGCCGAGCAGAAA